CTCAGCTGAAGACTAAAGAGGTCCCTAAAGATTTATGGAAGTCTCTCTGTTCTTCAATTTCCTCTTCAGTATTCTCTCCCTGAACTGTAACTTCCTTGGCCTTCCTGGATACCCCCTCTTTGCATCAGGACTTGGAAACACCTCTCTTCAGACAGTAAGCTTAGGAAATCATAGAGATCATCTTGTTCATTTCCTGCTATGCAGGGAACACTGTCATTCATTAACTGATATCAAATGTCTTGAAACTCATTGTTTCATATATTTTATCTGATTCTTTATTTATTCTAGGCAGAAGGATAAACCCAGTCCCTGTTACTCCATCTTGGCTGGCAGCAGAACTCTTCATGTTATCCCTTGAAGGTTGCTATATGTGGTACGTGTCCATGGTACAAAATGTATGATCCAATTCAAATTAACTTTCAGGTATGGTATGAGGCAGGGGTCATGGATAATTTTTTTTGTCATAATGATATCAGCTTTTCTGTTTCCATTTGTAGGAAAGATTTTTCTTTCCCCACTGAAGTGATTGTCACTGTTGAAAATCAATTGTCTTTGCATGTGTAGGTGTATTTCTGCACCCCCTATTTATTGCATTTTTGTCTATCTTTGTGAAATATTATATTACCTTGATTTCTATAACTTTATAACTCTTGAAACTCTGTAGGATATATTTTAAAATATTTTCTCATTTTCAAGATTATTTTGGCTATTCTATATCTTTGCATTTCCATATTAAGTACCAAATTATTTTGCCAATGTCTATAAAATAGTCTGCTTAGACTTTGATTCCAATGGCATGTAATTTATAGGTTAAATATTAATAAACATAGATTAATTTTAAGAATAGTTGACATTTTAACAATATTGAGTCTTCTAATTCATGAATGTGGTATACATCTCCATTTATTTGGGCCTTAATTTCTCTCAGTAGTGTTTTGTAGTTTTCATTTTAGATGTCTCGTATTAATATATTTTACATTAAATTGTTATATATTTTTTGGTGATAGTAAAAATGATTTTTTAAAAAGTATATATTCTATTATCTGTATAGCAGTTCAATTATTTCTTGCTAGTGTGTAGGAATACAATTGATTTTTGTACATTGACCTTCAACTCATGGCCCTGATACATTTAATTATTTGCTTTAGTAGTTTGTAGGTTACTTTAGATTCCTTTTGAGCACACTCATGTTGTCTGGAAATAAAGACAGTTTTATTTCTTTCATTGCAATCATTTTGCCTTTTATTGCTTTTCCTTGCCTTATTGCACTGGTTAAGACATCTAGTACAAATATTGAGTAGACATAATGAGAACAGATATTCTTGCCTTATTCCAAAGCTTAAAGACAAATCATTCAATTTTTCACCATTAAACATTATGTTGGCTGTAGATATTTCAGAGGTCCTTCATCAGATGAAAAAGTTCCCTTCTATTTCTAGGTATTGCTCGTCTAAATTTTCAAAGAATAATAGACTCCTTTATGTCATAGATTTGAACCACCGCAAAGTTTGACATTACATGCTTACATTTGTTCACTTTTTAGATTTCTTCAACTTACTTCACCAGCACTGATAATTTTCTTTGGTCCCAACTATGTTGAATATTGAGGCTACAGATAGATTATGGATGCTGGATTTTGGCTAGACTCATGATGAGAGGTTTGCTCGTGTATGCTAACTTGACAACTCTACCATTCAGATTTTACCAGCAAAATTAGAAACGACTAGATATAATCAATTTTCAGGATTCTGGAAAATAGTGGAAATCTGTTATGTCAAATCTAGAAAGTTCAACAGTCTCTGTCTTCTAAATTAAATCTCTTTCCTGATTTTTAGTTCCATCTTTCCTACCCCTTTCATTTAAAATGGCTTTGGGAGATCTTGAACTTAGCAATTCTATGTAAACATCCTTAAATTTACTTCCAAGCCTTTTTTTTATGTTGGCGGAATAGTTTGATCACTACATATATATTTTATTATTAACATAAAACATACATGAAGTGCCCAAATGATAAGTGTAAGCCTTCATGAATTTTTGCACACACCCAGAAAGAGCAGAAAACAGATCATTTGTGGCACTCCAGACCTCTTCAGGTCCCTTTCCAGTTAACCCCAAAGGTAACAACCAGTGGTGTGCTGGAGGTAGCTTGCACCAGACTTTGAGGGCTGATAGTTAAATCTTCTGGAATCCGGTAAGGCCGGCTGTTAAATACAACCACTATTAAAAATTAAATTTTATTGAGTTAACATTTTTAATATTAAAATATTTAACCTTGGTCATAACTTTGTTTTGGAGAGTGTTTTAAATTAACAACCTTCAACTTTTTCTAAAAAACAAAATTTCTTGAGATGAAATTATCCAAAAAAAAACCTCTTAGAAAACTGCATATCAAAGCAATGCATGGAAGCTGACTGCAGGAGACTGCCTAAGTGACGCAATTGTTAGAGTTTATTTTCAGCCCATTTTTTAAAATTTTATTTTATTTTTTTTAGTAGTTATACTATTTTTATTCCCACACCCCAATGGCTTGTTTTGCACGGTCCATGTAGGAGATCGCTTATCTAAACAATGTAACTATACCTTATCTTTTCAATTTGAACACAGAAAAAATATTGATTTGCCTAACCCATGTTAGTGATAAGAAATTCAGATTATAGAAAAAAACATACTTTGCGTCATTTTAAAGTAAAAAATATTTAGTAAAATGCCCACCATTTACAATGCACTATCTTTCAAGGTTTGGCATTAATTCAAAAGGCATGGAGATTTCTATAAACTTGATAGGGGTCACATGTGCATCTTGCACTAATGAAACCTTACAAAATAGCACGTTAAAACTCCCCCAAAAGGGCAGACTTCCAAAATAGAACAACAGGAAAGTGAATCTCTATGGGACACAGTTTCTCTTGGCTTTTATACTTGGTGAAGAAAGGATTTTAGAGTCTGGGGCATATTCTGTTTTAAACTTCACAACAACTTCACGATATACTATGCATTAGAAAAAAATGCAAAAACCCAGAAACCAGGGCTCAAAAGACTTAAATGATTTGCCCAAGGTTACTCAGGTAATACGTGCTAGAGCTCAGATTTCAGTCCAAGTGTCAACCTTAAGTTATTCTCTTTTTACTGCACTACAGCTGCCTGAAGTCCCTTTGCCTCTTTTTTCTTTTTAAGGCTGCTTCAGTCCTCTTATCAATACACACTCTTTAAATTTCCACCTGTCTCTGCCGCAAACTGCAGAGAAGAGGGAAACACGATCATTCTAAAGGATAGGAAAAGTGACAGACTAATATTTCTCTTGTCCGTCTCCTTTTCTTTCCTAGAGGGCTAGGAAATGGGTCTCTGTCTTGCCAGTTCAAGTTATCTGGATTTAACAAGGAGAAATTTCATGCCCGTAGACTTCAGAGCACTTGTACTGTTCTGCCCACCCCCAGAAGTGGAACATGAATTCCAGTTGACAGAGCTCAAGTTTAAGAAGCAGTCATTTTTACCACACAATTGACCCAGGAGTCAGTATGATAGAAATAAAAGCTGGAAAATTGAGAAAATATAACCATTTTATTTTTAAAACCACGAAGCTGCTGTACAATTCCGTGGGAGCCTGGAGTCTGGGAAAGGACTCCACGAAACCTGGCACGGAAGAGCTTGAGGCACCGGCAGGGAGGGCCTGGGGCTCAGGCATTGCAAGCAAAGCCCGGGTTCGCGGAGGCCCCACCAGGCTCGAGTTTTAGGTCCCTTCTCCAGCCTCTGGGCCAAACGCCTCAGTAAATCCGCGCCCGTGGGGCGTCCCGGAATGACACGGCGAGCGAGTGAGAAAGGAAGAGGGCGAGGTCTCCGCGGACATTACATGCTCCCAGGCCCGCGGCGGCTGAGGGCTCCCGTCCTTTCCACTGGCTCAGGAAAGCCTTGGCGCTGGCATTCCCTCTGCGCGCCGCTTGCGCCCGTAGCCTCGGCGACGCCGTCGTCGGCGTCACGGAGAAGGGCGGCGGTGACGTGACGTCAACGGCCCTATCGGGCGGCGCTGGCCCTGCGGTCGTCGCAGCCGCCGGGGCGCAAAGGCGGGCCGCACGTTGCGGCACAAATGCCCGATTGTAACGAAAGGGCGAGGCCGGAGTCTGCGGAGCTCGCCGGCTTCCGCCTTGAAGGCCGGCGGGCGCGGGGTCTCCAGCTCCCCCAGGCAGTTTTCACCCGAGAGCCAGCCTCGCCCGGGCGGAGCCCGCCCGTGAGCAGCGTCCGGCAGCCTGGCAGGTACGGGCGGGCCGGGGCGCGGGGCCGGTGCCCCCAGCGGAGGGCAGGTTCTCGCTGGCGTCTCTGCGAAAGCCTCCTTGCTTTTCGGTGGGTTCCCCAGCTGCGTGACGGCCGCGGGGCAGCTGTGCTACTTCTGATGCAGGGTCTGAGGCAAATCCTTTCCCAACACCCCGTCCCTACTGCTGTCCCCGACTCTGTGGACTGTGTGATTAAAGGGTTTGGAATGAACACCAAGCCGGTCTTTGAAGCATAAACCTACAAAACATTTGTCGTGGTGGTGGAAAGTGACGGATAAAACTTGGGCAAATTAATAGTGATACAATATCCACCTCCTAGGATGTTAGGAAGGCTAAATAAAGTAAGCATGTAAAATCCTCGAACATTTTCTTGTTAATACGAGTATTCGCTGCATGTGACTGTTATTTTAGTGTTTATGCGAACTTCACGGGAACATTTGTTAGGCCTATTTTCTTTAAACATCAAGTGATTATCGTATCCTTTTCTTGCTGGTTTTTTAAAAGCAGCCCACCTCCGCTTTCCTGCCTGTTACCGTAAACAAACTTCTCCTTTACTCACCTCAACAGGGTTGCCTCGTTTGTATTAAAACCCCTTCCTCGGCAGTGGCTGAGGAGGTGGCGCGGCGGACGGCGGCCCGAGAGTAGCGCCCGCGCTGCGGCCCGCGGGACCGCGCCGCCACCGCCCGGGCCGGCCCCGAGGAGCGCCTGCCGCCGCCGCCGCGCGCGGAGGGAGGGTATGAACGTGATTTCTGATGAAACTGGAATGGAATAATTTTCATGATCTTTGTATATTTATATGTATATATTTTAAAATTTTGCATTTGACTTAAAGTGCCATGAGAAAATTTGCATATTGCAAGGTGGTCCTAGCCACCTCCTTGATTTGGGTACTCTTGGATATGTTCCTGCTGCTTTACTTCAGTGAATGCAACAAATGTGATGAAAAAAAGGAGAGAGGACTTCCTACTGGGGATGTTCTAGAGCCAGTGCAAAAGCCTCATGAAGGTCCTGGAGAAATGGGGAAACCAGTCGTCATTCCTAAAGAGGATCAAGAAAAGATGAAAGAGATGTTTAAAATCAATCAGTTCAATTTAATGGCGAGTGAGATGATTGCCCTCAACAGATCTTTGTCAGATGTTAGGTTAGAAGGGTGTAAAACAAAGGTGTATCCAGATAATCTTCCTACAAGTGTGGTGATTGTTTTCCACAATGAGGCTTGGAGCACACTTCTGCGAACTGTCCATAGTGTCATTAATCGCTCTCCAAGACACATGATAGAAAAAATTGTTCTAGTAGATGATGCCAGTGAAAGAGACTTTTTGAAAAGACCTCTAGAGAGTTATGTGAACAAACTGAAAGTACCAGTTAATGTAATTCGAATGGAACAACGTTCTGGGTTGATCAGAGCTAGATTAAAAGGAGCTGCTGTGTCTAAAGGCCAAGTGATCACCTTCCTGGACGCTCACTGTGAGTGCACAGTAGGGTGGCTGGAGCCTCCCTTAGCCAGGATCAAACATGACAGGAGAACAGTGGTATGTCCTATCATTGATGTGATCAGCGATGATACTTTTGAGTACATGGCAGGGTCTGATACGACTTACGGTGGATTCAACTGGAAGCTCAAGTTTCGCTGGTGTCCTGTTCCCCAAAGAGAAATGGACAGAAGGAAAGGTGATCGAACTTTTCCTGTCAGAACACCTACAATGGCAGGAGGCCTTTTTTCAATAGACAGAGATTACTTTCAGGAAATTGGAACATATGATGCTGGAATGGATATTTGGGGAGGAGAAAACCTGGAAATTTCTTTTAGGATTTGGCAGTGTGGAGGAACTTTCGAAATTGTTACATGCTCACATGTCGGACATATGTTTCGGAAAGCTACACCTCACACGTTTCCAGGAGGCACAGGGCAGATTATCAATAAAAATAACAGACGACTTGCCGAAGTGTGGTTGGATGAATTCAAGAATTTCTTCTATATAATTTCTCCAGGTGTTACAAAGGTGGATTATGGAGCTATATCATCGAGACTTGGTCTAAGACAGAAACTACAATGCAAACCTTTCTCTTGGTACCTAGAGAATATTTATCCTGATTCTCAAATTCCACGTCACTATTTCTCATCGGGAGAGATACGAAATGTGGAAACAAATCAATGTCTAGATAACATGGCTAGAAAAGAGAATGAAAAAGTTGGAATTTTTAATTGTCACGGCATGGGAGGAAATCATGTTTTCTCTTATACTGCCAACAAAGAAATTAGAACAGCTGACCTTTGCTTGGATGTTTCCAAACTTAATGGCCCAGTCACAATGCTCAAATGCCACCATCTAAAAGGCAACCAACTTTGGGAGTATGACCCAGTGAAATTAACCCTGCAGCATGTGAACAGTGATCAGTGCCTGGATAAAGCCACAGAAGAGGATAGCCAGGTGCCTAGCATTAGAGACTGCAATGGAAGTTGGTCCCAGCAGTGGCTTCTTCGAATTGTCACCCTTCCAGAAATATTCTAAGACCAAATTTACAAAAAAATAAAAAATAAGGATTGACTGGGCTACCTCAGCATACATTTCTGCCGCATTCTTAGGTAGCAAAAAAGGAAAAGTACTTTCCTCCTCTGCAGGATGTAAGGTTTATCAGCCATTAAAACTTAGACTCCTCTAGCTTTTCACTAGCTGTGAACCAGCCTTCCTGTCCATGGACGTGAAACTGCATAGTAGTGAGACTGTGCACACTGATGTTTACAAGATTGAAAGAGTCTTTCATCAAGAATCATGGTAAAGAATATTTAGACAATGAAACAATCAACAAAATGTGCTTTCCAGAGAGCTGCATCTTTCATGGTTTGCTTGCACAGCAGTAATTTCTACTGAATGTGCTGTCATAATGAAGAGATGTCCAAGATTTTTTTTTCCTGATTAGACCTGGTAGCCAGTATATTAAATATTGATTTAAAAATAAATGAAAAGAACTGGAACCAGATTCAGAATCATGAAAACATTTTTATAACAATAAAAAAACCATATTAAACAGGGTATAAAGAAAATTAAAACGGAACTATGAGAAGTACAATTTGTTATATAACAGTATAGTATCAGATTATAGATTTTATACCTCAGTGGGGAAAAATAACTGATTCCAGTGACATTCATTTTATTTTCATCTGTGATAGTCATGGATGCTTTTATTTTCTTTGGGGTGCTGAAATTGAGCTGGAAAAAAAGGCTCTTTGAACATAGTTTTAATTTCTTTCTACAATTATTTTATTTGGCTATTTGGTTTATTGGCTGTTGGAATTGTAATTTTTAATTGCCTTCTAAAAAAATGGAGATTTAACATAATGTCTGGGCTCAACTGAACGAGTTAGATATCTTAGTTGCTCTTGGGTCAACTGGCTTATAGACTTTGTCAAACACACGCACACACACAAATTTCTTACCAGATTTCCAACTTCTTAACTTGATTCAACTGATGATGCTTAATACCCAAGATTTGTACTACTTTACTACAGATTTGTTTTCACAGCAATAAATCTTTAGTTCTTTGTTTATGATTCCACTTAACAAAAGGCCTGCAGAAGTGATTTATTATTTGGGTATTTGGAGATAATATATTTGATGGTTTTTTTGGAAGACCTTTTTCACTCCATACTCAGATGTGCTTCATTGTCAAGTGCATATTTAGATTAGATTCTTGAATTGCAATGTTGATCTGCTGCTTTTTTTTTAAATAAAATTTGACTGAAAATGTTTAATTGGCATTTTTTTAATGACTAAGCCAAAGAAGTGCAGCTATTATTCCATATTAATAGTCCTGCATTTCTTCCCTAAATTCCATTTAGGCTAAATTGGTTTTGTTTTTCTCTGATTTTTAGGACCACAAAACCACCTGAGTGTCGATTAAAAGTTGATTATCGGGCCGGGCGCGGTGGCTCACGCCTGTAATCCTAGCTCTCTGGGAGGCCGAGGCGGACGGATTGTTTGAGCTCAGGAGTTCGAGACCAGCCTGAGCAAGAGCGAGACCCCGTCTCTACTAAAAATAGAAAGAAAGTAATCGGACAACTAAAAAT